TATTTATATAACATAAACAGCTTCGTTTCTTACAAAAAGTTAGTTTTCACCCAAATATTTTTCCTTCATGAACTAAAATATTTTTTGAATGCTAAATAAAAAAAGATGAATATAATATAAATAAGTTTAATAAATTTCAATAAATAGATTGTCTTTTTCGATTATAACAATAAATTATAATTATATGAACTTTATGAACTTACAAGATCACGATGAATAATGTTGTTATTATGAAGGAACATAAGACCAAGTGTAATCTCTTCAGCAATGCGTAATTTATCTTTCCATCGCAAATTTTTAAAATTTTTACGTAAATAATTTCGTAAGTCACCTCCATCAGCATACTGGAGAACCATATTATAATGCCCATTACACGGATCTATTTAATGATAAAGGTTAATATAACATTATTAAGGATCATAGTTAAATAAAAAAAATCACAAACCTTTAGTTACTCCATAAAATTGAATAATATTTGGGTGAAAACTAACTTTTTGTAAGAAACGAAGCTGTTTATGTTATATAATTTTTAATTCGGGTTAACTATAGAAAAGTTTGGACGAAACTAAAAAAACAACCCATACCTCTCTTATAAATTCATAAATGACTTTATTTTTTTTTTCGAGATTATCAACATCAATATCGCATTTTATACTTTTAAGTGCTACTACTAACTTGCACTGTTTCCACAAGGATTTGCGCACTTTTCCAAACTCACATATCGGAACAATGTCCGTAAATTTATCAAAATTAAAATAATTAATGTGGCCCTCATCAATAGCTCCATCTAGCCATTGTGTCAAAGGGTTTGCAATTATTGTTCTTGAAGAAAGCATTACTGCAGATGTTAAAGGGAGGATTAAGAACACGTACGTACAGTACTGTACTGTACTTAATTTGTTTAACGTTAAATATAGTTTGTGTTCATGCTACGTATCACTTCACATGATTATTGTGCATTTTGCATACGGTTCCACAAATCCGCAGGCGTTTCTTATCGATTCTGTATCTCAGTACGTATTAGTTATGTAATACACGCTATTTTCGTCTATTATCAACTAAATTTGTGTCAACAATGACTAGAACTAATGGCTACACTTATCGTTATTCTTGACAAAGCTGGCGCCAGAAAAGTTACCGTTAAACATATTTTATAAATTTATTAATGTTAAACGTCAAATATATCTAAATATATAAATTTATTAATGTTAAACGTCAAATATATCTAAATACTGTATATAACAAGAATATTTATTTATTAATTAAATTTTTTTTTTTTTTTTTGAAAAAAAAAAAAAATCTTACATACAGTATATAAATATTTATAATTTATCAATGCAATATGATTCTGCAATTAAAACAAATGTTTAGTGATATGATTTTTGAAATAAATAAATGATTTGTAAAATGATGATAATACATAAGTCTGTACAAAAGATTAAATCTGTTTCATTATCTTTGCCCTTACACGCTCTAAATCGGTATAACATCCAACACCATTGGTGGCAGCTTTTCTATACCAATCGAATGCTTTTCCTAGGTCTTTCGGAGTTCCGTGACCAAATTCAAAACATTGACCGACATCACATTGAGCTTCAGGAGAACCACCTTCAGCGGCCTGCATAAATAACGCAAATCCTCTAGATACATTAATATTTGTTCCCAGCCCTTTTTGATAACATTTCCCCAGTAAATGTAATGCCATAACATTTTCCTTGTCGGCAGATTTTTGCAACCATTTCATTGCAATAAAAAATTTCTGTTTTTTGTAGTAATATGCACCAAGTGCGTATCCTGCAGCTGCGCACTCATCGCTTGCTTGTGTAAAAAATTCAGTAGCTTTGGCTCTTTTTTTCTTAACATTCCAACCATCCTCGTAGCATTTTGCGACAAAGTATTTTGCTAAAGCGTTCTGATTTGCTGCAGCATCTTGAAAATGTTGAAAAGCGCTCCCTTTAGTACCATCAGTCCCAATATTCCAACGAAAGAATATACCTAAAAGACATTCATATTCTGATTTGTTTTTATGATAGAATAATAACCATTTAAAGACATCACGGGCAGATTTATAATTTGTATCGAGAAAGTTTCTAATAATCTCCGGAACAGGTTTTTTCCCTTTATTAAACAAATCGACAATCTCCGCCCATAATTGATCTATCATAATGGTCATTGGATCTTGACCAACGTTGAGTAAAAATATTTTGTCAAGGCATGCGCTGAAAGCTTCTGTACTGGTAACATCTATATCAATTTGTTCATCTTCATGAACATTATTTAGACTATTGACGGACATAACGATAGTTACGAATAAAATAAAAAAGGAAGGTTTGAGAACAAAATTCTCACAGACGTTTATAAAACTATCAATGTGATATTTGTGCACCGTAACACAATGGCAATATTACAGCATTTAATGATGGTGACCAAATACAGTATACTGGTTACGTATTGTACAATTTTATTGGCACAAACACTTATTCTCAAGATAACTGCAATAAACTACAGTCAGGCCTCTCTAAGTGCATCCTCTATAAGTGCACATCCTCTCTAAATGCACGCTCAGATTCTGACCCAAATATATACTTGACCTCTATAAATGCACATTTTCTTATTATTCTCTAAATGCATGTTGTTAAAGTGTGGTCCCAAGGGCGTGCAATTATAGAGGTCTGACTGTACTACTTTTTTTTTTTTTATCACCATCTCTAAATCGTTTGAATTTTCCATTATCGTTATTAGATGATTGATTAATTTATATCAATCAAAATGTATTCATTAAATCAATCAAAAAAAAAAAAAAAAAAAACAAATTTTACAGTATTGCGATTTGCAAAATGATGAAGACCGCGCGATTATACATAATGATTTTAATACGGCCATATAAAATTATGAAAATAACATATTTATATTGAATATTTCAACAAGAATCGCACTTTACAATCACGCAATCGAATAATAACTAGGTGATTGTATAGGTGAACTGCGATCTTCAAATCTGATCAAAGAATACATCTTACTATATTAAAGTATTACCAACGAAACTTTATGTATATTATTATTTTTTGATCATTACTACCTTTTACATGTGATTCATTAATATCATCTATGCCCAACCAAGTTTATCCGTCCGTTTAGCAAGTTAACTCTGTATAAATTTAAATTATTATATAAGTCTACAAAGTTTTTTAGACTTAAATAAAATTAAACAACCTGCGAAGAACTTTTTAAAAACACCTTGAACGTTTCTTTTAATTTACTATTTCTTTGCGTTCAGTATTGAAATATAGCATAATACAGTATTTGTATTTTAAGTAAAATATATTTATTGCATGTTTGTATTCTCATGAACTTTGATATTAAATAATATACTTGTTTTCTATAAAAAAAAACCAAATTTCCTTTTCATACTTCAAGTGGTATTTATTGTGAATAAACTAAAGTATACAATCTATAACCCAACGCTCATTACGATTGGCAAACCCCAAACAAGTTACAAGAAACAGAACATATTCAAGTATTAAACCTAGATCATTTTCTACTATCCTATTTAAATTAAATAGTTAACAATAAAAAAGTTTATTTAAATCTAACTCAGGTAGTTTAAATAGAAACGCTTCTGGTTACCTCATTCTACTATTGCAGTATTGTCCAATAAACGGTAGAATACTTTGTCATCTAAGTAAGTTCGTCAGTTTTGGGGTTTGGATTCTTTTGCGCTGTGAAGGATAACGTTCTTCTAAAGATATTTAAACCTATTAATGATGTTTGCGGTGAATTTTTGTTAGTGAAACGTCACATTCTCAAAAAGTACTGTACTTTATCGCTGTTTGCATATTG